CCAGCAGCAGTTCTCTGCTGCGCTGCAGGTGATTTAGCCTTCATCGACTCCCTGGCTGCTGCTGATTCAGCGCTCGGTGTTCTTTGGAAAAGGTCAAAGATGGAGGCGGAGCTGCCGCTGCGATCGTCCCATGACCTCTTCCTGGAGGTCTGACCTCCACTGACAGCTCCTGGTGTACTGTTACTGCCAAAATACTTTGACTCTGTCGGCCTCTCGTTGCTGGCTTTGCTCGTGACGACAGGAGGATACTGGGAAGTACTTGGATCAGTTTTGGATGTGCAGGATGAGGTAGAACTCTGTGGTTTTGGTGATGTCGCTGAACCGGAGGTGGACTTTTCGACAGCACCAGTGCTGTTGAAAAGGTCTTGAATTGACTTCTGCCGTATTTTCTCTGCTCCCTTGCTACTGCTGCTCCTGTGCGGTTTAGAGATTCGTACCGGCGAACCATTGATGTTGACAAAAACTCTAGTATTGCTGACAGACCTCTTTACAGGAGGCTTGGGAGGTCCAGTGTGGGCTCTCGGCCCGATAGATGACCCTGAGTTGTCATGGTTATAGTGTACGGGAGTAGACAGAGTTTTAGATGGAGATGGGAGGGGTTTCTTGAGGGGAGAGTTTGGGATAGGTGATGAAACTTTCATGACAGGCACAGCTGGGTTTTGAAGGGAAGGCGTAGAGGACTGTGACTGTCCTCCCAGTAGAAAACCTTTGCCACTAAATGGGATAATGTTCCGTATATCCTGTGACTTCAATCCTGTGAATAAAAAAGGTTTATATTTGAGTCACAAACCATCAGTGAGTCACAATCCCACATTTCCAACACTTTACCTGCACTAGAACTCGAAGGCTTCTCAGTTCCAGCTGTTTCTTTATCTGTTGTCTTCCCGTTCTTTTTTCCATCCTTCTTGCCTTTTTTGCCGTATCCTTCCGGTTCCTTGATCTTGGTGTAAGTCCCACCACATGTCCTTTGATGGTCGGCCCACCAAAAATCCAAAGAAGATGGAGCTCTGTTCATAGCCCTTTTTACATAGCCAAAAAAGGGTTTGCGGGTCTGGCAGGGGCCGTCACATCGCCACCAGTGCTGCCTGTAAACATCCACCTCATCGTGAAAGCTGTGGTAGACCTGAGGGAGGAAAACACACCATTCAGATCACTGAACTAGGAAACAAATGGCCAAATATGGACCCAGGGAGAGGGCCGTACAGTGATGTTTGTTCCACTGGCTGTGTTGATCCGGTTCATGTGTTTGCAGAACTCAGGACCGTGACCGTCTCTGTCTTTGTTGTTCTGGGTCACAAACAGAAGGGCGTGAATCATTTCATGGAGGAGAGTCTGCGGGAAAAAGACAATTCTGTTAATATATAT